GAGAGAGGGAGTCCCACCAACCAGCGTGTGTTGCACACACCACACAGCGAGAGCGGGACGGGAGCAGGGTGTGCCCTATACTACTACTGCTGCTGCTAGCTTTCGGCGGAGGAAGCGAGAGGAGAGATATTGATTGAGTCTCCGTGGGTCCATCGGTTGGTTGTTGTTAGGGCCGTTTTATACATGAACAAATTTTGTACAAATTTTGTTCAAATAATGTACAAATTGTCCGGAATTCCGGAACTTGTACAGAGGCGTTTGTCCAAATATAGTCCAAAAATTCGGAACGAACCTGGGCGCCAAAATTTGTACTCAGTAGCTTCCAAATTTTGGACAAATTGTCCAAATAAATTGGAGCATCACAACAAACCCAGCAGCTAAAGGACCTACAGGACCAACTACAAGGAAGAAGCAGCAGCGGAGGGTACTTGGATAGCGGTAGGGCCATGGCGGAACGCAGGAAACGCGGCGCGCCTCTTGGTTCGTCGTGTGCTGGCCCACCGAGCCAACGATTCAGGCGTGCATCCGGTCGCCAAGAGCTGGTGCGGCAGATGAAAGCAGCTGCTGCTGTGGTGGTGCTGGTACTGAGTGCGGCGGCAGTGGTCACCTCTGTAGCTGTGCACGCTAGCGCTAAAAAGACGCGTGCGGCTATCCACGAGCCACGGCGCCTGGTTTGGGAGGATCACGCTGCTGACCTCCACAAGCGGAAGCTCTTCCGTAGGATGTATCGCATGGAGGAACCGGTGTTCAACAAACTGGCTGGGTTGCTGGAACCGATCCTCCAACGGAACGACTACTACGCAAGTGAGAATAGCGAGAAGGAGGGAGGGAGAGATGGGAGGGCGGGGGGGCAGGGAGAGAGAGACGTACGAGGCGCAGAACTCATGCCGTGGTGTTTTTCCCGTCCTTCCGTTTGTTGCTGATGCTGAAGTGTATGCTATAGCATTGCAGAAGACCACGGTTGGTATGTTTTTTTTAGAGCGTATTCCACTGCTGTAGGAATCAATCCGAATCATCCCGCAGCACCACCGCCCGCACTCTCACACCAGCAGGACGGTTTACACCAGCAGGACGGTNATCCGGTCGCCAAGAGCTGGTGCGGCAGATGAAAGCAGCTGCTGCTGTGGTGGTGCTGGTACTGAGTGCGGCGGCAGTGGTCACCTCTGTAGCTGTGCACGCTAGCGCTAAAAAGACGCGTGCGGCTATCCACGAGCCACGGCGCCTGGTTTGGGAGGATCACGCTGCTGACCTCAACAAGCGGAAGCTCTTCCGTAGGATGTATCGCATGGAGGAACCCGTGTTCAACAAACTGGCTGGGTTGCTGGAACCGATCCTCCAACGGAACGACTACTTCGCGAGTGAGAATAGCGAGAAGGAGGGAGGGAGAGATGGGAGGGCGGGGGGGCAGGGAGAGAGAGATGTACGAGGCGCAGAAGTCATGCCGTGGTGTTTTTCCCGTCCTTCCGTTTGTTGCTGATGCTGAAGTGTATGCTTTAGCATTGCAGAAGACCACGGTTGGTATGTTTTTTTTAGAGCGTATTCCACTGCTGTAGGAATCAATCCGAATCATCCCGCAGCACCACCGCCCGCACTCTCACACCAGCAGGACGGTTTACACCAGCAGGACGGTGACCTCCGGTGTCTGACTAGGGTGAGGGTAACACTTTCTTGACCCAGAACTTGCTATTTTCGTCTGCTGATACGTTCACGCTACGCTTATTTTGTGCTTCATGCGAAACAGGAAAACGGTATCAAGGCGGTGCTGTTCCCACGAAGATCCGACTAGCTATCGGCTTGCGGATGATGGCCGGTGCTTCGTATCTCGATGTCGCCGTGCTACTCGGCGTGTCCAAGGAGACGGTCTTCAGTATCTTGTGGCAGGTGGTGGATGCCATCAACAGCACAGCAGTGGTTGGGCCGTTCTTTTTTCCGCAGAGCGAGGATGAGTGCACCCGGCAGGCGGCAGAATGGGAGGTGCGGTAATGACACACTAAATAGTTAACAGCAGCAGGGTGGATTGCATGTTTGCATTCCAGGCAGGTGACTATGATGTTGTGAACGAACACATGATCGTGTTTGGTGGCGGTTGAGTTTCAACATTACTTCGAATATAGATTACAGTATGCGAACCGACGTACGTGCGAACATGGCCAAAACCAGGCAAGGCGGCGAAAATGGACAGACAGGTTTTGTGCTGTGGTATGCCTACCGGGTCTGGTGTCGAAAGAGCAATTCAACGTCACCTCTTCCGTAGGCTACAGGCCTCCTAACGTGTATGGTAAATAAACAAGGTACTACTGCTTCAGAGCCTGGCCCAAAACAAATGACGCCGATTGCATGGATGCATGCATGTCGA